TGCTCTTCAACACTTTAAAAAAGTCTTGTGCAGCAGATTTGCCTAATGCAATACAGAAACCACATACAGGGTTGTTATGATTCGAAACTGACTCAAAGGCACTTAACAACAAATACTGCTCCGTTAGACTGTGTGGTTCCTTCCCTCAATCCATTCCGATCCGCAGCTGGGCTTCCTGGCCGGCTGAGATTCACCTTCCTGAAACATCAGATCACTTCAGTTCACCTTCACTGCTTTCAACTCTAAAGGGTGAAAATCCCTTCTTTTACAATGTCTTGGGGTCATTCCGAAACCAAATCTGTTGCCGAATTTCTGACTCTACAGAAGAGAGTAGAACAAACCCACAGGGTTTCCAGGCCCTAACAGTTAACTGCTGGACTGCTGCTAAACAAAAGGTCAGTCAGTGGTTTGAACCTGCCCTGAGACTCCATGGAAGAAAAATGGAGCAGTCTGCTTTTGTAAGATTTACAGTTTTGAAAACCCTGTACTTTGGACTATCAGGTAGCTATGAGTTGGAATCGACTCAACAGCAATGGAGGATTTGGTGTTGTTTTGTTTTTAATCTTTACAGAAAGAGATTGCTGCATCATTTTCCCTTGGAGAGGCTAGTGTAGCTTCTGATCTTTCAGTTCGCAGTCACCCATTCACTCACTGCATTATCAGGGCTCCTTTATATGTCATTAAGTTCTATAAACAGAAGGTAAATTAACTGAAAGAAAAGCTCTACGTCTAATACTGTGGATCTTATTAGGTCTTCTACATCATTTACTAAACAAAATTCTTGTTGTTTGCTGTTGTTAAGTGCTATGGTGTCAGTTCTGTCTCACCGTGACCCTGCACAGGGTTTCCGAAGTTTCATTTTTTTAAAATCCTCACAGGAGCAAAAAACCGTATCTTTCTCCCATAGAGCATCTGGTGGGCTCAAACCTCGGACCTTGTGGTTTTTGTCCAGTGCTTATGGTATGGAGTCCTGGCGTTCCCATACAAAATTAGGGACTTCATAAATGGTTACTTGAAAAATTTCATAATTACTTACAATAAGAACCACATATGTTAAAAAAAAAAATTACTTCTTACAAGATGTTTAGCATACATAACTCATAGCTCATGTATTATGTGATGACTTTAGAGGATGCATTACTGCTTCCACCTAAGTATAAAGACACAATATCTTCTATTAGTATGTATTAGCAATGATCTGAAGGGTCATCTTCCCTCTTCTTCTGCAGTATATAATTTCTAGCTAGCTTCAAATTCCATGGAGTTATTTGAATTTCAAATGTTTGTTACAACCACAAGGAACACTCTGCAGAACGCAAAATATCTTTGAAGTTTCTGAACTTTATGTCGTTTGTACTGAAATGAAATTCAGTTATTTTTTTTTTTAAATGAAGCAGCAAAGTTGAAAACCCACTGTATAGCTGATATATAATATCCATGTCCTTTAATCAGTTAAGAATTTTCTTTGCCTAATAAAGTACTTGGCCATAACTTCGAACACTGGTTCTCATGGGGAACAAATGCAGACCAATACTGTATGCTATTTCCCTGCTTTCTATTTACAATTGAATGCATTTGGCAGTAATAAGAAAAAAAATAAAGATTCATTAGAAGCTTGGCATTGAATGGATGATTAGGAAAATCTTACATAATTACATAAGCAAATTGTTGAACAGAAATGACTTACTTCAAAATTCCTTAAATCATTCACTGAGCAGTTTAAATGGCACCAGGCTGGGCATTTAAACATGGAAGGTGGAGCAAATCACTAATTGTTGTTGGGCTCGATGAATATAAGGAAAAGCTCACTTGCCACAGACTGGCTCCCTGGTATAGGGGTGACACTCAGCACTCTGCTGTCATTCCTTCAAGTTTAACATTGTCCTGTTTTTGTAAAGATATACAGCCTCAGAAACCCTATACAGGGTCACTAAGAGTTGGAACCAGCTCCATGGCACATAATCACCAACCACCAAGTGATTGAGACAATGCATCTGAAAGTACTGTGATATTAAGAAATAATAATAAAACTATCTTTTGTCTTTGTATCTAAAATGATCAGGCAGTCAGTTAAAGCTTTTTATTTTTTTGAGATAGTCATGCTGCTAGATCTTTATTATGGAAAACATTTCACGTTTACTCTTTCTGTCTTAAGTTTGTTTGTTTGTTCTTTAAAGTTTTTGTGAATTGAGTGATG